TTTTTTTTTTTTTTTTTTTTTTGTATAAATAATATGAAATTTCAAAATAGGGGAAGAAAGCCGAACCCGAAACAAGAAGACTAGAAAGGACTTCTCCAATTGAAACAAAGAGTATTTGAACTGTAAACATTTTAAGAAGCATAACATTTACACTAAGAAACTATCAGAATAGTTTTCTTTATTGTTGACGATTCTATTCTTCCTCTCAAGCTAAAGATGTCAACATAAATCTATGATGAATTGAAGCCAATGGATCTTATCTTCTTTCGGGAATGTGTAAGCCACTAAAATTGATGAGAGGAAATTGTTGATGTCCGTGAGGAGAAGACAATGGAGCATCAAGCTTCCAAATTTTCTAATGCCTAAAAAGCAAATGGATACGGAGGAATTTTGTCAATTCCTCTCTAATTCATCTCCAGAAGCCTACTTAAAAGAGTTAAGAAAATATAAGTTATAGTTTATGGTAGATCCATCGCATAAAGCATAGCTTTCACATCAACAATGAAATTGAAACGAACAAAACCCAGATCAGATATGAAACAAATGAAAATTTCCAGCGGTATAAATCGAACTGGACAGATCCAGACACAGCACCAACAATAAAGTTGAGAATGATAATCAATTGAACTAACCTGGATCATTGGCTTTCCGAGAATCTCAACGAGAGGCTTCCCCTGGAACCGTGAAGAGGCGAATCGGGCGGGAATGATTCCGACAACGCGGCTCCGAAATTTTCTGGATCGACCCAAATAAGCTCGAGCTCCGATGGCGGCGCCAATTGTGATTCCGGCAACAATCCCATGCACGATCCAGGCTTTGGCACTGCCGAGGTACCCGCCTGATGATGAAGAGGAAGAAGAAGAGCAAACCGACATGATCTCCCGCTACGAGTGGCTCGTTATTGCACTGATGCCAAGATTGCTTGGGCTGTTGGTTCCCACCTTTTTTTCCCCTTTATTTGAAACCAACTTTTCTTATTTTTTTATTGACAAATTTCATGAATAAACGTTAAATTTCGATTAATTAAAATATTATTTTAGTTCTTATATTTTGAAAATTTATTTTAATTTATATTCATCCTTTTTTATTACTCTATTTTTAATTAGAAATAAATCTTAAAATGAATTCTTACTATTTAGAAAAAAATAATAGCTAAATAATTTTTTTTTTTATAAGAGTCTAAAATCTATTTCTAAAATTTATAAAAAGAGACCGATGATGGAAATTATTATTATAATTAGTACATGAATAAAGTTGATATCTTATTCTAAACATACTATTGGTATGACACAGACTGTAATTGTTATGAATGATTTGATCCAAATATTTTATATAGGGACGCACGAGTAAGAATATTTTATACCTTGAGCTTACATAAAATTAGCCTATGAAACATTTAATCTCTCTTTATTAGGCTTGTCTATGAGCGTTTGTCCCTTAATTTGTATAGGTGAGACACTTTTGTAGCTAAATTCATGATTTCTCGTGTAGACAAAGTTGATGAATAAGTTCTTGTAACAGTCTAAGTTCACCGCTAACAAATATTGTCCGTTTTGACCTGTTATGTATTGTTGTCAACCTCTCATTTCTAAAACATGTCTAATAGGAGGAGTTTCCATACCTTAAGGAATGATTTGTTTCTTCTTCAACTGATATAAGATCTCACAATCCATTCCCTTAGAGACCAGCGTCCATGCTGACACATCACCCAATGTCTAGCTTTGATATCATTGGTAACAACCCGAACCCACCATTAGTAGATATTGTCCTCTTTGGCCCCTTACGTATTGTATCAACTAGACACGTTTAAAAACCGTGATGCTAACAGTGATACGTAATGGGTCAAAGCCAACAATACCTATTAGCAGTAGGTTTTGACGGTTACAAATGATATCAAGACTTGAACAATGAGGCTCCACCTTCTCTTGGTCGGGAATGAGACTTAATTTATAATTGAATATCATGAACTAATTGTCAATGAAATGATTAAGGTGCAATATATAACTGCCCCGGTAAACTTACTCATCTAAACATAACTTGAAAAAGAAAAAATTCAACATGAACCTCAAACATATCACATGATGGCTAAAAACATGTAAATAAAATGGTCGTTGTTTGACTTATTTCCATCTTCATGTCATCTCGATTAATTAATCTGTGTTAGAAGAAAAAACGATTGATCAAGAATATAGCTATAAAAAAACAAATTTTATCGAAGAACATTGAGTCGTAGACTGATCATCTTTGATCAGCAACGAGAAAAGAATTAAACGCAACTCAATCCAACCCAACCAAACGAATGAATACGCCGGTCAGGTTACAAGTGGGTTCGACAAATGGGACAAGTTAGATTAATCCCCAACCATTTTATAATGCAATGCGTATGGAACATATGCTTGCAATTAGGGAAAACTCTGCACGAAACTCTGTTCCCAAACGCCTCCAAGCATATCGCACATTCGTTCAACTCCGACGACGCTACTTCCCCATCATTCTCCTTGCAACCATAATCTACCAATGGCATCGTCAGTTTCTCCATCACCCTATGAGTCTGATGATTCAATTCCTCAGGGTTCACGGTGGCCGCCCTGGTCGCCGCCCTCGTCGCCATGCCGTGTCCACTGTCACGGTGGGTTTGGGTGGCGCCTATGAAGCCCTGAGTGTGGCATTGGAAACAGATGTAGATACACAAGCTGAAGAAGGAGAATAACACGAGAACTGTCAAGACAAACCCAAAGAGCACGATTATGGGCATCTGTTGTGTTGTTTGGATGCTGGGAAAATTAAGGAAAATGGGACGAGAAAATGAGGCGTTGATGAACAATCATGGCTCACAATCACGACTTATTTGATTTGGTTTTTAAAAACATAACAAGAAATTGAGTTTCAATAATAACTGAGATGGCATATAACAAACTCTGTTGTTTCCTTTTTTTTTTTTTTTTTTTTTTATTTGAAAGTTTCTTTGTTAAGCTAACAATAACATGAACAACTATTAAACCCATTTTAAGAATATTGCGATAATATTTTTGATCGAATCACCCCATTAAATTAATTCAAGTGTTTTTCTAAAACTAGATTGAGTTGAACCAAACCAACTGTTCATTTAAAAATATGTATTTTAAATTATATATAGGTCTATTTATTTAATTTTATAATTATTCTTCTATTACTTATTTTCTAATATCTCTTTAAAATAATGTTTTAATTATTTGAAAAGTAATTTTCAACCCAATTTAATGCACGAATACCTTGATTTGTACCAATCGAGTTAATCAAGATATTCTATGATTTATTGTGATGATTTTATAAGTTAATTAGTGAAATAGTAAGAATATAGTTAATTAATATTTAAGTTGTGATATTTGCAATGTGTTTTAAAATGTCATACCATTAGTTTTGAAATTTAATATATAGGCAGAGATATATACATAAATCATTCGATAGTCACCAACGAAGAAACGATCGAAAAAAGGGTACGTCTTCCTATCCTTAGCTTTAGGATACGTGTATTTTGCAACCTAAATGAAGGTTAAATACTCAAATCTCTTATAGAAAATTCGATTTCAAATTTGTATGTATTCTAAAATGATTTGGGTTGGATTTTTTTAAAGATTTCGTTGAGTTCTATGAGTAAGATTCGGAAAATAAATTAGCTTCAATCTCAAGATCGACTCGTGATTATGTTCCACGTAATTCAACTAATTAAAATATTATAACTTCAACAAGAAATTTCATCCATGGTAAAATTATTTGATATCGAACAAGAAATTTAACCCATGGTAAAATTATTTGATATCGAAAACTCTATTTTATAAACACTATTGTTAACAATGGTTTGAAATATTTACATTAAATGTGGATAATGAGAAATGTCAGCAGTTGTTGTGATTGGCAATAGGAGAACGACAAATAGGACAAGTCAGGTTCCTCCTAAGCCAACGTTGAATACAAGAGTAATGAAAAATGTGTTTACACACGACAAAAATCTGGCAATCCTCGCCATTCTCAAACTCCTCCAAACATATTGCACAATCGGTGTATTTCGCCGCCACCTCCGAGCTGCCATACCTCACCCTCGTTGCCATTTTCATTACAATTTGTGCTCTACGCCCCTTCCTCTCCGCCATTGTTCTCTCCAATGCCTCCCTCCAAATGTTGCTTTCGTATCGAGATACCAAACTTCTACCCCGCATGGTTTGGTTTTGGTTTTGGTTTCTCTCGCCTGCTTCGACGTCAAGATGGTGCCCATCTAAGTTCGTCGACCCGATTAGGTATTGACATAAGACGAAGATGAATATGATGATGGAAAAGGAGGCGAGGATGGAGAAGATGACGATGGAGATGATGATGACGATGACGATCGAGAAGGCGGTGAGGAACGGGAGGGTTGAAGGTGGAGGGTTGGATTGTGGAACAGTAGTAAGGGCTTGAGGGATCATGTTGGGGAGTTTCTTAATTGGTTGTATGTGTTTTTTGTGTGAAGTTTTGTTGCTGGGTTTTCTAATGGTTTTGTGTGAAGAAGAGAGGCCATTAGGGCCTAAAAAGAATTGGTTTTTTTCAACGAATTTTGGTTTATTTACCATTTACAAGAAAAAAAGGCTTGTGGGGTTTCTGTTTTTCGAACCAAATGCATAGCCATTTGCCAATATCTGGAAGCCATGGAGGGCTCTCCCCCATCCAAAAATGGATAGTTTTTGGTTTAGTTCTAAGTTATAAGGTGGGCTTAACGACTCACTAGAATCATCATTTTCAAATTGTTTATTTTCTTTATCAAAAAACTCCAAACGTCTCGATTAAATTATAAATTTAGTTTCTAAACGGAGGTAGGTTTCTAAATAAGTACCTTCAGTTAAAGTATTCCAACGGTATTCAATATTATTTATTTTCTTTACCAAAAAGCTCCAAACTCAAATTCTAATTAAGTACCTTGGGTTAAAGTGTTCCAACTGTATTCAATATTTTTTTTAATGAATTTAAAGTTTCTAGAATGCTTTCTTTATCAAAAAGCTATAAACATTAAGATTAAATTACAGGTTTAGTTTTAAAATGAGTCTCTTTAATTAAAGGGTTTCATGAGGTCATGTTCTTGTTAAATAGAAAATTGAAATTTCAACCACATGTATATATGATATAAAACTGATAAGATTAAAACAAAACAACCTTAGAGCTTAATTTTGTTAAAATTTGAGTTTTTGTGAAGTTATTGATTAATTAATTTGTCAATTAATCAAGTTTAAATTTGGAAAGTTTTAATGTTATTGATATTAGTGAGTTTAGGGTGATTTTCAGGATCTAATTTGATCGTTTAAGATGAAAATTGAATTTATTAAAACTATTAACAACAAGACAGGAAATAATTTAGTGGAAAAAAAAAAGGTTTTTTTATAATTATTTATCCAATTAAAACTATACATTTATGAATCATAAATTAATTTATCATAATTATACAAAATTAATAGCATAACAATCCATGATTTCATGATTTCAAGTAGTGACATTTTAGATATAGAATTCCATTATTTTCACGCAAGCTCAACCATTCATTTAATGATGTTAAAATTGTGAGATTCACACATGGGTTGAAAAGAGAACGAAATATTTCTTACAAAGGTAAATGTATTTTGAAACTGTGAACGAAATATTTCTTATAAGGGTGTGGAAACCTTTATCCATTGGATGTATTTTGAACTTTGAAACCGTGAGGCTGACTGTAATATGTAACTAACCAAAACAGACATATCTACTAGTTGTAGGCTTAACCGTTACAAATGGTATCAAAGCCAAACACCGACCAATGTGCCAACGAAGACGTTGGTTCCCAAAGAGAGTGGATTGTGAGATCCACCTCGATTTGGAACGAAACATTCCTTAAAAGGGTGCGAAAACCTCTCTAGTAAACGCATTTTCAAAGTCATGACTAACGGTAATACTTAACAGACCAAAGC